TATTTCAAAAGACTCATACCATTCCGAATGTGCTTTCTACTTCCTGCTTTTGGATCAAGATGTCAGCTCTCAGCCTGGCGTTCTTGGCGCATGCCTTTAATCCCAGCACTTGGGAGGCAGAGGCAGGTGGATTTCTGTGAGTTCGAAGCCAGCCTGGTCTCCAGAGCAAGTGCCAGGATAGGCTCCAAAGCTACACAGAGAAGCCCTGTCTTGAAAAACCAAAAAAAAAAAAAAAAAAAAAAAAAAAAAAAAAAAAAAATGTCAGCTCTCAGCTGCTGTTTCAACCACCTGTCACGTGTCCTAACTCCACCATCATAAACTCTGTTGGAACCAGAAGCCCAGCTAAACTCCTTGTTTTATAAGTTGCCTTGACCATGGTGACTTGTAACAGCAATAGAAAAGTAACTAAGATAGGCAGATTCTAGAAGGAGGATCCAGAAGAAGATGATGGCTTCTTGAGTATTATTACCTCTGAACACTTTGTAATGGGACAGGATGCAGAAGTGAAAGACAATGATATTAATAATTCTGGCCCTGTGTAAGCCTCAAGTAATGTGTGTATTTATGTCTTGATTTGTTTTTCGAGACAGGGTTTTTCTGTGTAGCTTTGTAGACCAGGCTAGCCTTGAACTCACAGAGATCTGCCTGCCTCTGCCTCCCAAGTGCTGGGATTAAAGGTGTACACCACCACCACCTGGCTGTGTCTTGATTTTTAACAACAAAAAATATAAAACAATGTAAAGAATAAGAATATAAAGTTTCCTTTTGTTTCTTCTTAGCACAGTATTATCCAGACTAATGGCTTCATTGTGAAATTTTCATACATGCATGTAATGTGATTTGATCATCTTTTCACTCTTCCATATTTTTCTCTTCCTCACTTTGGTTCTCTCTCCTGTTTTGTAATAGTTCCCTTTTACTTTCATGCTGTCTTTGTTTTTTCTCTAGAATCCCCTTATAACAGACATGTGAGAACTTACCTTTCCAAGTCTAGCTTATTTTATTTGCCATTTCATTTCCATTCACGTTCCTTCAAAAGACATGATTTTGTTCATCTTTCTAGCTGCATAAATGCCTTATTGTATCAATTGAGATGGCCAATGCTTTTATACTTGATTCTGTTGATGTGGTATTTACTAATCTGCATATGTTGAACCTCTTTGTGTCCCTGGAATAAAGCCAGCTTGATCATGATGAATGATCTTTTTAATGTGTTGTTAAATTTGATTTTTGAGTATTGTGTTTAAGTTCATCAAGGGAAATTATCTAAAGCTTCTTTTTTTATTTTGCTATATCCGGGTAGTGAATTCATAGGATGAGTTTTGAAGGGTCACCCTTATTTTTATGGAAGAATTTGAAGCTCATTGGTATTCTTTGAAGGTCTGGTAAAAATCAGCAGTGAATCTGTCTAGACTTGAGCTAAGAAAATATTTTTATACAACTGTGCAGTGTGTCTGCATTTAAGCTGAGTCTCATTATGAAAGTCAATAGTTTAAAAAGTAAGTATGCTATAGAAGCTAAGGTTAATTTGTTTTTAAGAAGGATATATATATATATAAATTTACTATAGCCTAAGTATAGTCCTTATAAAGTCTACAGTCATGTCCTGAGGCTTCACATTCACCAACAATTCTCTCACTGACTCACTGAGAGAAACCTCTAGTCCTATACATTCCATTTGTGTTAAGTGCCTCAGGTAGTGTATCTTTTTTATTTGGATATACTTGCACTCACCATTATGTTATATGTTACTTTCCTTATTGTTGTGACCAAATACTTGTCAAGAAGCAACTTAAAATGAGATTTTATTTTGGCTTACAGTTTGTGAGGATACAATCCATCATAGCAGGGAAGTCATGGTGGCAGGAGCATGAGGTAACTTGTACCATTGGGAAGCAGAGAGAAATGAATGCTGGCACTCATTTGGCTGTCTGCTCTTTATTTAGTTCATGACTCCAATCTTTGGGATAGTGCCCCCTACATTCAGGGTAGGTCTTAACATTTCTGCAAACACCTTCATAGGCATACCCAGAGGTGCATTCCCATGTGATTCTAAGTCCCATCAATTTGACAAAAAAGATTAATTATCACATACTGTAACTTTTGGCAGTTATAACAGGGTCTATAGGCTTATAGCCTTGGAGTCAGACTATATCATATAGCCTGAACATGTAGTAAACTCTACAATATAGATTTAGCTAAGTATATGCAATGATATTCACATAGCCATGAAACCACATAATGACCATATCCCCTTAAATGTATAAATGATATAATAATATGAATCTTCCTTTGGAGAATCTGATTAAAAGGGGGAGGGCAACATAGCATTCCCAGTGCTCTCCTTTTTGCTTTCTTTTTGTTTATTCTTTATATTTTTAGCAAGGGCTTGAGGAACAGTTAGGATCTTATTGTATAATCAAGACTAGCCTCAAACTCAAGATCCCCCTGCCTCTCTGCCTGCTGAGTGCTGGAAATTACAGGTACATCCATCCCTGGCTTTGCTTTCTGTTATCTGTTGATATTGGTAGCATGAATTCTTGCAGAAAGCAGTCATATGCCTGATGTATTATATTATCTCAACTTTGCCAGTATACAAACTCATCTGGGAATTTTTTAAGGATTTATGTATTTATAATTAGGGAGTGGGAGCGGGAGTATGAGTACAACTGTCAACAGAGGCTAAGGGCATGAGATCTCCTAGAGCTAGAATTGCAAGTGTTTGTGAGCCACCTGATGAGGGTGCTGGCAACCAAACTTCTGCAAGAGCTGTACATTTTCTTAGTTACTAAGCCATCTTTCTAGCCCCACTAGGAAGTTTTTTTTAAAAAAAGAAAAAAGCAAGGTATGGCAGTGCATGACTTTAATCCCAGTGTTCAGAAGGCAGAGGCAGGCAGACTGAGCTGGCCTGTATGTTTGAGGCCAGCTGGTCTACTTAGTTAGATCCTGTCTTAAAAACCAAAGCAACAAGAACAAAGATGCAACTTCAGATGTAAACATTAAACTTTACTTTAGATGGCCTGATTAAGGTGTGACCCTGAGGGAAAGAGGCTCTGATAGGAAAGAGAAATAAGAAGTAGTCAAGAAATGAAGGGGCCAGGATATCAGATGGATTTTTCTTTTGGATGTTGAAATCAATAAGAATCATGACAGAAATAGTATTGGAGTGACAGTGAGCCAGAAGATAAAGTTACCAAGGAATGAAAAGGGTGACCTTGCAGAGCCATAAATGACTGTGGTAGTAAAGGTAGTAGGGTAATAGGGCCTGATGTTGTATGACTCAGAGCAGGGGATTTCTGTACAGGACAAGGGAGAATATTCTGTAATTGGCAGTATGGAATAAGAAGGGCACTTGCTAGTCCTCCCTTGTTTTTGACGGGAGGAAAATTCCTCCTTTAAAAGAGCTAAGTAAAAGTTGCATCCTTACAGGGGTGTCCAGGAAGGTAGAGGGCATTGAAAGCTTCTGAGGCTGGGTCAAGGATATGAGGATTTTGGTGCTAGCTATCTATGAGTTCCATGTGGCTAAGAAGGACTAGGGGTTCAGGAGATGGGAAAGGTATACATTTAGAATCCATGTTCACTCATTACCATCTCTCCTTTGTATACTGTACATTCTCATTTGTATACTATGTGTTCTCATTTTATGTACCTTTCAGTTCAGCTGCCTTGCACGGCTTAAATCATAGAGCCAGTTAAATGAAATTCTTTGCCTGGTCTATGCCTGTAAAAACCATCTATTTTTTACATATATCATGCTTTACATCTATGATTATGACCTTAAGTTGGCCTTTAATGTTGCCTGACTATCATACTACATTTCCTTATTCACTTGATGTTGGTTTCATTTCCTCCTGGGTGACTGTTTATATATTCAGTCACCTCCTAAGGTCACTGTCTCCTTCCCAGTTTTTACTTTGAAAAGAAGTCTTTATTTCTTATTCCACTGAGAAAACTGAGTCAGAAAAAAACCTTTCATGATCATAGCTACTGCCCACTTGTAGTGGCATCCATAAACAATATCTTTATTCCTGTTACCATGAAAGAACTAGTAGTTGGTCAGCAGCCGCCTTCTCTCCTGACTCATTCTCTTTGACGTGAAAATATCCATTTTCTCTCCCAGTTTAAAAATCAATACTTCTTACATTCACTTTCCCTTCTAAATATTGCTTTATTGCACATAAACTTCATAGAAAATGTTTGAAACAATTTTCTATAGTTTAATGGTGATTTTTTTTCTTTTTTTTTTTCTCTTCTTTTTTAACTTATACCACCCTATTTCTGTCTCCATAATTCTAGGAGTAGGGACAGAGTCTGACTTACCAGTTGACAACACTGATGTCTACCTCTGCCATTTCTCAGTATTTATCTAACGTTCCCATGAATTCATTAGTTTCTTCTTGAAACACCATCTTTGTTTGCCTTTTAGGATACTTGTCAGTAATTTAGAAGGATGTGAGATTATGTATGATCTGTGTGCTGGTGCTTTCACTCTTGCTAAACATTTAAGTAAACTTACCATGGATTCATGAATATTAGAAGATATGAGACATCTGAATCAGATATGAACTATGTTTATTACAGTTTCTCCCTGCTTAGCCACTTCTCAGTCTCTTCTGCTGATTCCTCTTCCCCAAACTTTTTTTTAAGAGACAGGGTCTCAGTGTATAGTGCTGGCTGGTGTAGAACTCACTGTAGGTAGATCAGGTTGAACTTGAGCTAACATAGATCCACCTGCCAAATCTCCAGCCCATAGTCTTCCCTTAGTTTACAGTCTCAATTCTGTCTGGAGTTGGGCAGACTTACATAAATATCTAATAGGCATCCTAAAACTGACATCCAGCATGGAACTGTTCACCTTACATGCCACCACCACACCCCCTCCCACCAACAAATCTATTCTTTCTGTCATTTTCCTAGCTTAGTTAACATCTACTCACATCTTTTAGTTGTTCAAGTAAAACAAAACACAACGTTTGAATTTTTTTTCATTCTTTCACTGAGACAGCTAGAAAGATGGTTTATTGTACATGAGTTATACTTGGCCACAAGTGAGAACAGAACTAGTCTAGAATGCCATAGGTTCAAGGCAGAGGGCCAGTGGGGCCACTTTTGTTATTATGAAGGCAGTCAAGTCTCTCAGGTGGTCTCTGTAAGCAGACAGTGATGTTCCAGGACCATTGAGAATTATACTGACAGTAGCACACAGTCCAAAAATTTGTATCAGCATCCCGGCCTTCAGCATCCCTTACTTCTGCTCCTTTAGTCTTTGTGGGTAGACAAGCTGGTTTACTTGGACCTCTGCCTCATCTTTCTTCCCTTGCACTTCAGCCTGCACATTCACTTCTTCCTCCACTAAGCTTTCATGACAAAGGAGTTTCAAGGAAGATGATCCTAAGGCCAAAAGCTTGAAAAAAAATTTTTTTAATCATTTGGGTGTTTTGCCCACATGGATATCTGTACCACATGCATGCCTGATACACAGAGGCCATAGGCTGTTGGATCCTCTAGAACTGGAGTTGTAGACAATTGTGAGTTACCATGTGGGTACTAGAAATATGAACACAGGTCCTCAGGCAGATCAGCCAGTGTGCTCTTAACTGCTGAGCTACCTCCCCAGCCCCCAGAGCACAATTTTTAAAAACCTAAAGATTCATGCTTGACCTCCTTTCCCACAAAACCTGCAAATCTGTCTCATTGCCTCTACTTTCAAAGTACATCTAGAATCTTGACCTTCCTTTCACCCTTTGTCTTCTACCACCTGGTCCAAACCAACATCATTCTTGCCTAGATTGTTCAAGAAATCCCTTTCTGGTCTCCTCCTCTTTTCTTTTACTCTTGTTCTTTTTAGTTTATTGTTATCGTGTTCCCAGAATACCTTGTTTAAAAAGTGAGTGAAATCATGTTCTTTCTCTATTCAGAGCTCTTCAGAAGCTTCCCATCAGATAGGAATCATACTCTGAACATACTAGTATATCACTCTTGTTAAAATATTCAAGCCTGCACTTAGCTTATAAATCCTTTCCATCTGATGTTCTTTCTGCTTGCTTCCTCTTCAGTCTGCCCCTGACACACATAGCAGCTTCGTGATACTAGACTCACTAAAGAGAACTATGCTATGTTGTTTTGTACAACAATCTATATTGTGAGTATCTGTGTCCTTATAGTACTAACTTCTTTCTTTAGGTACTATATTTACTGTCACTGCATGTTAGATCTAAAAGATTTCATAAGAAAAACCCATAGATGATAGTGTAATTTTCATATACCATGTGGGAAGATAAATGTTGCCTGATTGCCATACCATTAGTAATGCTAAAATTCATTACATGGTAACTTTCAGATCTCTCTGTTATAAATACATGGTTTCCAGTTTTGATTAACAAATGCACTTTAGGGTAAATATATTAACACTTTAACCAAGGAATTACTTTTTTCAAGTGAAACATATTTTGAAGCTCTCATATCTATAAAGATCAAAGCAGAGCTGTTCCCATTGCAGTAGGAACTCTGACAAGCACAGTTCATAACCATAGAGCCCACATGAATTCTTGAGGAAGTGGACTAGATCTTTTGTTACCTAGTCACTTAAGAAGGACTCATTTAGCTTGTATTAGATGAGTCTGTCCTATACTTCCTTGGTAAGCAGTGATTGTTAGTGATCATTAAAACTGTTCTTGTGTTCCTGAAAGCCCACCCACTGCTTTTAGTTGTCCAAGTTTTTCCTCTGGCTTCTGGCTATTCTATAGGCATGAAGTATTTTTTTGTTTTTTTATTGTAAATTCTTCCTCATCCATAATACAAGATATGGATATGGATATTATTCATGTGTAACGATAACTCTTTCCATCAGCCACCTGAGTTCCACTGCCATGTTGGGGCCCCCAAATAACACACAGAGTCTTATATTAGTTACAATGATGCTGGCCAATGACTAGGATTTCTTTTTTTCTAGCTGAGTCCTAATTATCAACCATAACTACTGATCTATATATTTTTAGATTTATTTATTTATCATGTATATATAGTGCAGGCCAGAAGAGGGCACCAGATCCCATTACAGATGGTTGTGAGCCACCATGTGGTTGCTAGGAATTGAACTCAAGACCTCTGGAAAAACAGTCAGTGCTCTTAACCCCTGAGCCATCTCTCCAGCCCTGATCTATATATTTTTATCTTACTGAGGACACCGGCCTGTGTCCTCTCTTCCTGGGATCACATGTTGAGCTCCCCTTTACTACATTTCCCAGAATCCTCCTTCTCTCCTAGTCCTGCCTATCTTGCTTCCCTATTGACCAACAGTGTTTTATTCATTATTCAATAAGAGAGACATATACACAGAAGGACTTTCCCCATCATTCATGTATATCTAAAAGATTAGAATCTTCTGAGCTTTCATGTTTTAATTCTTTCCTCCTCCAGAATGTTTTGAAATCTGCTGCAGTAGAAGGTAGTTTGATTGTTTCCTTGCTGCTTTCTTCCTTTAATAAATTATCTGTCTATCTATGTATAAATTTATTGTCTATCTATGTGGGTGGGTACATGCAGGCATGTGTAATCAGAGAACAACTCTCTGAAGAGTTCTTCCTGCTATCTTGTGGGACCTAGAGCTCAAACTCAAGCACCTTTACCTGCTGGGCTTCTGCCAGTTCTCCTTTCTTCATCTTATCCTATAGCCTATAGCCTACTTTAGCCGAGAATTTAATAAACTTAGAATAATGTACCCATATTAATGTGTATTAGTTATATGTATAATGTCTTGAAGTTTTTGTTGTGATAAAACTCCATAAACAAAAACAATTTGGAAAGAAAAGGGTTTGTTTCAGCTTACAACTCTCAGGTCACACTCCATCACTGTGGGAAGGGCAGGAACCTGGAACTCAAGGCAGGAACCTGGAGGCAGGATTTGAAATAGAGGTCATAGAGGAATATCACTAGATTCCATCTCACAAACAAAAGAATAGTACTGGCAAGATGACCACCCTCTATAAAAAGCGCTTGCTCAGCAAACTTGACGACAGGAGTTTGATCTATAGATACTATGATTGAAGGAGAGAGCCAACTCCTGAGAGTTGTCCTCTCATTCCATTTCATGTGCTCTCCTTGGCACGCACCCTAATATTCTCGTTCATTCATTCATTCATTCATTCATTCTCTCTCTCTCTCTGTCTCTCTCCCTCCCTCTGTCATACACACACAGAGATAAAATAATAATAAATAATAATAATAATAATAACATTAAAGAGAACTATGCCCAAAAGGAACCATCACCAAGATCCAGGAGGGACTAAATAAATATTGAATGACTCGATGGCTAGTATTTTTTGTCTCATTTCCTTCATCACATAAATTCTAAAAATGGAGAAAATCTTTTTTTTACAGTACTCTGAACACTGTATATATGAATGTAAATTAGTATTAGTATTTTTAAATCTACTTAATAAGTTCTTGGTGGCTGAGGGTATAATTTAGTTGTAAAGCACTTTTCTAATGCTTCCAAATTTCTAAGTTTGATCCCCCAACCACTTAAAGAAAAAGTAAATCTCTTTTTACCTTATGACCAGAATTTGTGGTTACACAAGGATATTGAAAGGCACTGGATTTAAAGATAAAATAATTGTGTTCAGATCTTGCTAATGAGTTTGTCACTTATACCCTGTTATATGACTTTTCCTAGGAAGATGTGAACAGTGTCTGTTTATCTCAGGTAGGACACCAGCTTCAAACCAAAAACACAATTTCACAGGAGTATGGATTAGTCAAAGGTAGCTACCATCATTGAAAGCCAAGCTCAGCATGGGCATTGACTCAGAAGATGCATGGCTGGAATTCATTGTGGAATTCCCAGGCAGCTGGATGAGTTGTAGAGTCTCCGCCTAACAAGTTGCCCTCTCTTCTCTGGAGCAGTTATCACCTTGGGGAAGAAGCTGTGAATCTTCTGAGTGTAAAGCTTCCCGAAGTTTGAAAGTTATGCTTGAGCCTTTTAAGTTCCATTCAGGTCTCCAATCTTAAGAAGCCTTCCTCTGGGAGGGGATGTTTCTGTTTGGAAGAAATAATACTCTGAGCTATTTTCATTATAATCTCATTGGTTTGCTTCTGGAGCTTATGGAGACCCTAACGCTGCTTGCTTAGCTTTGCTTCCCAAATTTTTCTCTCCACAGTAGAATATATAAAATGATAGACCTGCTGAGTAAATCTGAGTTTGACTCCCCTCCCCTTAATCTAAAACTTGCAACAAGAGTTTTGTGATGCGTGTCTGATCCAGCTTTATTCTTTTGTCCTCTGAAAGCCACCTTAACACTGGACTAGTGCCAGATGGTGTGCCTCAGCACCTTGTGCTTTGTCCCTCTATTCTCACAGCACTTCTCCTGCTGTCCTGCAGCCAGCTACCTCTGTTCTGCTCCAGGAGTGGGCATGACAGTCCCCATTTGGGCATGGCTTCCTTGACCTAAAGGTCAGGCACACTGTGGTGGGTGTGAGGCAGTGCCATGTTCCATCCTGATAAGTATCTGATCTGGAGCAGACTCAAATGCTTGTCACTTTAGAGCATCATCACTCCTCTCAATTTACTGTCAATTCTTGTATCATGTCCAAGGCAGCTGTTTTTGCTATTTCACAATATATAATAGTGATTTAAAAAATAATAGTGATTATTTTGTGGTGAGATAGTTTAATCTAGGGTCTCACACATGCCAGGCAAATCCTCTACCACTGAGTTACCTGTATCCCTAACTTTGTTTCTTTTTTAAAACTGTAGTAGTTCATCTACAAATTTCATTCGTGTGTGTGTGTGTGTGTGTGTGTGTGTGTGTGTGTGTGTGTGTGTGTGTGTATGAGATATGCACTAGGCATGTACAGAGACTATATATATGTATGTATGTATGTATGTTTATATACACACAGACACACACATACATACACACACATATATATATACATATATATATGAAGAGTAGATGATCTGCATGCATGCCTAGTACCCACGAAAGCCAGAAGAGGGCATCAGATCACCTGGAATTTCAGTTAAAGACCAACAGTTATGAGCCACTATGTAAGTTCTGGGAATCAAACTCAGGTCCACTGGAAGAACAACCAGTGTTCTTAACCCCTGAGCTATATCTCTCCAGCCCCTCAAATTTTCTTTCTGGAGCCAGTAGCTTTACAAATGACATAATAAAAATGAATCACCAGTTTGTTATGCTTCCCACATCAAATAATATCTGTTAAACACAGTTTTTCCTAGTTCAAACCAAGAAAAGAAAATTCTGCTTTTCTCTTACTCTCTGGACCCCAGAGCCATCTTGTATACAGTTTTCCCAAAAAAGAAAGTAAAATCTCAATGATTATTTGCAATTTTTAAAATTAAAATCTAATCATTATTTCCCCCTCCTGCCTCAAGAACTTCCATATCCTTTCCTTACTCCCTCTCAAATTTATGACCTCTTTCTCTTGAGGGAGAAAGGGAGGGAGGGAGGGAGGGGGGGGGAAGAGAGAGAGAGAGAGAGAGAGAGAGAGAGAGAGAGAGAGAGAGAGAGAGTGCATAACAGCCTGCTAAGTCACTGTCTGGTAGTGGTGGTAGCCTGAGCCTTTAATCCCAGCACTTTCAGAAGCAGGTGGATCTCTGAGTTTGAGTTCCAGGACCACCAGGGCTGTTACACAGAGAAACCCTGTCTTGATAAACCAGAAAAGGGAAAAAAAAACCAATACTGCTAAGTCAGTTTAGTGTATCTTATATGTATATGTATATATACATGCTTTCAGGACTGACCACTTGGCATTGGGTAACAAATTAGGGGGCTCATCCTTAGGAGAGACTAATTCTTCTCTCAGCAGTCATCAGTTGCATGTAGTTCTTTGTCTAGGGGTGGGACCATACAAGAACTGCCAGGGCTACATGGAGAGACCCTGTCTCAAACAACAACCAAAAGATAATAAAATAAAACAGGAGAAAGTTTTTAAGCACTTCCTACCTCGTGTGTACTCATCTAAACTCAAAATATTATTCTTTTATACTTACATATACATTTCCTTAGAACATAAGAAAATCTCATGAAAATATTTCTCGTTTTGAGTTTATTTTGTCAACTATTTAGAACTGCATACAATGAATGAAATATTACAGGTCTCTTCTTCTGTTTCCCCAAGTAGTTCTATGGTACCTATTTTGTATTCTTCCAAACTGTCCTCTTGGAAGCAGTTTCCATACTGAGTCATCAACCAACATTCCCTTTATTTTCCAGGCGAAGCAATAGTTTTATTATTTTGAAGTGACTCATTACTTCTGAGTCATCATACCTTCTGGACCCTCTTAAATAAAGGGTTTTAAAGAAACATTTCTGCAGTTCTCTTCAGACCCTTCAGATGACCTTTTTGAGTGACATGGATATTCAACCAGTTCATGTTTACAGTCATGTAGTTCATTTCTTCTTGGAACCTTTCACCAGGATAGGCAGTAGAATCTCTTTACCTCATATTCTCTGCTCCAGATGTTTCCTGAAGTGGAACAATATGTGTAATACCTTTCTCTATTTTCCATCATTATGTTTATGGTTCTTAATGTTTTATTAACATCCCGTCTTTCTCTATGAAGTAAAGCAGAAACATCCATAAAAGTTAAGTTTAGCTCTGTGTTCATTAGTACACAAAATCTTTGTAATTCAACATTTTGCAAGAATAAATAGTCTCTATTCTTTAAATTTTGTGGCATATTTGGCTGGTTCTTTACCTTCCCTTATGAAAATTCATTCTTCCACCCATCTTGTTTTTTGTTTGGTTTTTAGTTTTGGTGGGGGTTTTTTTGTTTTGTTTTGTTTGTGTGTGTGTGTGGGGGGGGGGTGTTTCTCTATGGAAACAGCTCTGGCTGTCCTGGAACTCATTCTGTAGACTGGCTGGCCTTGAATTCAAAAATCTGCCTGCCTCTTTCTCCCAAGTGCTGGGATTGAAGGTGTGCACCACCACTGCTGGCTCTTTCTCCTTTTTTTTTTTTTTTAAAAAAAAAGATTTTATTTATTCATTATGTATACAACATTCTGCTTCCAGGTATATCTGTACACCAGAAGAGGGCACCAGATCTCATAATGGATGGTTGTGAGCCACCATGTGGTTGCTGGGAATTGAACTCAGGACCTCTGGAAGAGCAGTCAGTGCTCTTAACCTCTGAACCATCTCTCCAGCCCTCATTCTCCTTTCTTAAGACCCTCTCCTTGCATTAAATGTCCCAGCATTCCTTAGCGTTTTTCTTGACCTTTCCTCATTCTATGCATACTCAATCTCATCCACTGTTGAGACTTTAAAACTTTTATCTATTATTTTCTCTCAAATCTTTATTTTGACTCCTATGTCTTTCCTGCTGACCATATCCTGTTACATCATGAGTATCTCCTGAATGTGCTATTGAAACAACCCACACCTGAAGCAAGTTCATTCTCCCTGAATCATTGACCTCAACTAGCCATAACACATACACAGGCTCAGTCTCATCTCCACACTGCTCTGAAATTCTTTTTAATTGCTAGAATTTGCTACAAATGTTATTGAATATTTCTTATTTAAAGTATCAATTCTAAATGCTTTTTCTGACAATTTTTCTGTTTGAGCCTACTCTTTAGCGTCAATCACTATCACCTTGTTCTTTCCTATTGTAATTTATCTTCATATTTCTAAGTGCATCCCTGCTTCCTATTCATCATTAATTTTAAGTATTTACTATGAACTTCAGCTCTCACCATTTTATACCACATTAACAAAATAACGAATAAGGTTATATGTTCACAGTGAATACAGAAAATGTATTGACAAATTTAGGTACACATTAGAGATTTTAAGCAGTATATATGGTTATTTGTTTTTGTTTTCATCGAAGGTACCAATGTAACTGTGAGGACAAAATACTCTTTTATTTTTTTGTTTTTAACGGTACAGGGATATGACTTCCTGACCTTTTGTACTCACCAAGCATTGTACTCAGCTACACACCTAGCCTGAGGGGGTCAATCTTTTGAACAAATGATAATGGCTGATGTTTAAACTCAACCTTATTAAAAATTAATTACATAAAACTTAATCCAAAATGTGTCACATACCTAAACACAAAAGCTAGAACTATAAACTACAACAACAAAAAGCTCAAAGAAGGGGATACAGAGCTGACTCAGCAGTTAAGAGCACTTGCAGAAAACCTGAGTTCAATTCCCAACACCCACGTGGCATCTCATAACCAGCCCAGCTGTAACTCCTATTCAAGAGGATCGTATGCTCTTTTCTGGCCACTGCTAGTACTGCATGCTTGTACATACAAGCAAAAGACACAAATGGAATAAAAAATAATTATTTTTTAAAGCTACAGGAAAGATCCTACATTTTATTCCATTTGTGTCTTTTGCTTGCATGTACAAGAAAAGATCCTTATGAACACAGGAGAGGCAAAGACCTTAAGATACAGATGGATCAACCTTAAAAGAAAAAGTGGACAACTGGATTGATAAATATTAGTGATGTACCATATTCTCATCTTTAGGATTGGTAGAAACTTGAAGTCTGCAGTGTATTTCAAGAATCTCTGCCAGTAATTGATATGATACTAACAGCAAAATCTTTCTCATTGTTACTTTATTAAAATATATTTATAGCCAAACCTTACTTTTCAAGCCTTACCTTTTTGTGTGAAAATTTATACAATTTTCTTCTTACTACTTTGAGGTTTTCTTTTTTTGTTTGTTTTGGTTTTCAGACAGTTTTTCTGTGTAACAGAGCCATGGCTTTTCTGGGACTTGCTTTGTAGACCAGGCTGGCCTAGAACTCACAGGTATCTACTTACTTGCCTCTGCTTCCCAAGTACTGGGTTTAAAGGTATGTACCACCAGGCCTGGCTACTTTGAGGTTTTCTTACCTTTGCATTTATTTTGCTTAAAGTGAGTTGAAGGGTGTAGTTGAATGTTTTTCTCTGTCCCCCTGGTCCCCCTGGACCGGTTTCTGTTCTGTCCTTGGATCCCCACAGATGCTTATGAAATAATCACTCAGAGGCTAATATTAAATATAAT